ACTAGTTGCTTATTTTTGCTTTTGTTGATTTGTTTTGAAGTAAGGTACAAAACTCCCCCTCATTTCTAAGACTAATATCTTATTGTTCTATGTTTTATAGTTTCAGGCCTTATACTCAAGTGTTTAATGTATCTTGAGTTAATTTTTGTGTTTGTATAAGACAGTGGTCCAGCTTTATTTATTTTTTTGTATGTGGCTGTCCAATTTTCTTAACACTATTTAGTGAAGAGACTATCTTTTCCACATAGCATATTCTTGGCTCCTTAGTCCTAAATTAATTTACCATATATATGTAGGTTTATTTCTGGGGTCTCTACTCTGTTCCATTTATTTATGTGTCTGTTCTAAGCCAGTGCAATACTGTTTTGATTACTATAGCTTTGTAATATAGTTTGAAATCAGGAAGTGTGATGCTTTCAGTTTTGTTCTTCTTTCCTTAGATTGTTTTGACTATTTGGAGTCATTTGTGGTTCCATACAAATTTTAGGGATAGTTTGTTCTATTTCTGCAAAAAATGTCATTGGAATTTTGAGAGTGATTGCATTGAATCTGTAGATTGCTTTAGGTACTATGGACATTGTTATGACATTAATTTTCTAATCTATGAGCACAAAGTATATTTATTTGTGTCACGTCAATTATTTTCATCATTGTCTTGTCAATTATTTTCATCATTGTCTTATAAGTTTCAATGTGCTTGTTGATTAATTTATTGCTAAGTATTTTAGTCTTTTTGATATAATTTTAATGGGACTGTTTTCTTAATTTCTCTTTATGATACTTTGTTATCAGTGTATAAGAATGCAACAGGTTTTTATGTAATAACTTTATATCTTAAAACTTTACTAAATTTATTTATTAGTTCTAACAGCCAACCCACGATACAAGGTTTACTACCAGGCACCATACTGTAACATTAAGAACTACAAGATAGTTTCAGTTTTTTAATTATTGCAAGAATATGATTAAGATCATGACTTTTGACACTAGGATGACAATGAGGAATCTATGTTTATGTATACATCTTGGAAAGAATACCTGGGGTTATAATAGGTGGTAGAATATGAGAACAAATGAGAAAACTCATATTTTAATACAAACTTGTAAAGTATATCTCAAATATGCAATGATAGTCTACATATAATACAGAATTGTATTTGAGGACTATTTCCTGTTTGTTAAATAAGAATGCTGGTTGGTCAAAGCCAAGGTCTGAAAGCTTTACAGGGAAGGAGTGCTAATCTACAATTCTTTTACAGAAAAGGCTGGTATGCTTATAGGACTATGGTAAGTTTCACTTCATAGTCCCCACATTTCTTAGAAAGTCTAGGGCTTCAGCTTTTCTCAGCACCAAATCCGTTTAATAGATTAAAGACTATATTCCAGATTTTACAGATGCCAGATTTTAGAATGGTTTACGAAGAAAAATCTATTGCCTTATTAACAGTTATGGAAATAATTTTGAAATATCACTGCTGTCACAATTGGGAGTAAAAAAAATACGACTGAATAAGAAAGAAGAATAAAGTTGAAGGAATCATGCTATCTAATATCAAGTTACACTATAAGGTCATTGTAGTCAAAAAACAGCATGGTACTGGCATAAAAACACATATAGATCAATGAAACAAAATAGAGAGCCCAGAAATAAACACATGCCTTTATAGTCAATTAATATTTGACAAAACAGGCAAAAACATACATTGGGCTAAAGATAGTTTATTCAGTAAATGGTCTTGGGAAAATTGGACATATACGTGAAGAAAAGTGCAACTAGACCCACTTCTTACACCACACACAAGAATAAATTCAAAATGAATTAAAGACTTAAATGTTAGACAAGAGACCATAAAAATCATATAAGAAAACATAGGCAGTAAAATCTTTGACATTGTTTTTAGTAATACTTTTTTGATATATCTCCTCAGCAAGGGAAATAAAAGAAAAAATAAACAAATGGGATACATGAAACTAAAAAGTTTTTGCAAAGCAAAGGAAACCAATCAACAAAAGACAAACCACTAAATGGGAGAACTTATTTGCCAATACATTTCATAAGGGGTTAATATCCAAAATTTATAAAGTCCTTAAAAAATTCAACACCAAAACAACAACAATAAACAAACAATCTGATTAAAAATTGGACAATGGCCCTAAATAGACATTTCTTCAAAGAGGACATACAGATAGTCATACAGATAGACATATGCAAAGATGTTCAGCATCACCAATCAGTAGAGAAACGCAAGTTAAAGCTACAATGAGATATCACCTCGCACCTGACAGAACAGTTATCATCAATAAATCAGCAAACGACAAGTGTTGAAGAGGATGCGGAGAAATGGGGACCCTCATGCACTGTTGGTGGGAATGCAGACTGGTGCAGTCGCTGTGGAAAGCAGTGTGAAGTTAACTCAAAAAATTAAAATGGAACTGCCTTATGACTCAGTGGTTCCACTTCTGGAATTTCTCTGAAGAAACCTAAAATACTAATTCAGGGGAATATATACACCCCTATCTTCATTGCACTGTTATTTACAATCGCCAAGATTTTGAAGCAGCCAAGTGTCCATTAGTAATGAGTGAGTAAAATGCCTATGGTACATTTACACAATGGAATACCACTTGGCTGTAAAATAGAAGAAAATTTTACCCTTTTCGACAGCATGAATGGACCTGGAGAACATCGTGCTAAGTGAAATAAGCCAGTCAGAGAAAGACAAGTACCATAAAAGTTCATTCCTATGGTTGGAATCTGATGAACACACTGAACTAACATGTGAAGCAGAGACAAACTCATTGGTTGAGAGCAGGCTGACAGCCCTTGGAAGGGTGTTTTGTGGGGTGGATGGCTGGGGCATAGAGAAAAAGAACTCGCAGACACAAACAATGGTGTGGTGATGGAAGGGCAGATGTGCGGTAGGTAGAGGCGGAAGAGGGTATGGGGGATAACTGGTAATGGAAAAAATACCATAAAAATGAAAAAATTACAAAAATCATTTTTAATTTGACATTACACTTGGAATTTTCTTCCCTCACACTTTTGTCCAAGTTCAGAACTCCAGCACAGTGCAGAGAAAGGGTCCCAGGGTAATAAATTGTATGTAAAAAAATCAAAAGAAGCCATAGACCTCATGACTAAATCTCAGAATGACTTGGAAGAACAGGAGTCATTGAACACAGATAATAAAGACTCCCAGTTTAGGAATGGGGGTCCTCTTTATATCTCATGACTTTGAATACGAAACTTTCAAACTGTCTAGCCCAGACCACTCCTCTCTTCTCCAGATTCATATTTCTAACTGCTTAATCAACATCTCTCTTTGAACATCTCATAGGCACCATTAACTTTCTCCCTTCAAACCTACTCTTTCCACAGTCTTTTCTTTCTCATTAAATTTTACCTACATATTTCCAGGGGTCTGTTCTGAGAACTTGGTTCATTTTTGAGGCCTCTCTTTCTCTAGCATTGCACATTTAACACATCGGCAGTTTCTGTGCGCCCCATCCAGAATCAGCCCACTTTGGCCATCCCCACCTCCACCATCCCGGTGCAACTCACCACTGTATCTCGCCTGGATCATCCGAGTAGCCTGTTCTGCAGCTTCTCTCTCCTCCCCCATCTCCTCCCTACCCCAGGGCGGCAGTCCCAGACAAACTCAACTAGATGATCTTACTAAATCAAAGTCAAATAATATCACTCACATGTTAAAAAACCCTCTGCAGTTTTCTATTTCAATTCAGCTTTAAGGATTTCTGGTCCCTTTCTTTGGAACGCCAGTCTCCCAAATGATGCCATGGTGGTATCCTCTTCACAGTCAAGTCCTTGTTCAAATACCACATCCTCAGTAAGGCCTCCCGTGCACCCCTCCACCCCGTATTTCACATTGCAACCCCTGCTTTCCACATCCCTTATTTCCCTTCTTTTGCTTTTAAAATTCATAGACCTTTTCATTTTTTGATATACCAGAGGTTGTCCTTATTTGTATATTGTCTGTCTTTCCCTTTTATTGTCCCACAATGCAAGAATTGTGTTCTCATTGTTGTTTTTCAGAGAGATAGACCTAGCTCTAGAAAATTGTCTGGCAAATGATTATCCTGTGATACAAATTTGTTGAACTAATAGATAAGAGCATCAGAATAATCTTGGTATGCATAAACACAAGGGCTGTTTAAACTGGCAGTATCCTTAAAGGCGTGTACCTATGGCAGAACTACAATACAACATCACCCCAATGATTTTACTTGGAAGATCACTGGTGCTCATGGCTGGTCCTATTTGCTTTCTGCTGTTGACGCTGATTTTATAGGTTTTGGTCCTGTCATCCATCATGAACCACGTCAAGGTATGACTGAAATTATCTGTGACCTTGGTGACCCTAAATTCTGTATATTCTTTGTCCTACAAGTCAATTTCACTTCTGGTGGTCCCCCTTCTAAATGATGCAGATTGGTCCAGAGTTTCCTGCCTAACTGAGCCTTTGCTTGGTTGGATAAAAGACTCTCTGCGTCAGACTGCCTCACTCTCTTAATGTATCAGCAACCATGCAGTCACCATTCTAAAAGGTAAAGAATGGTCGTCAAGGTTTTGAAGGCAATTCAGGGTACCCGTCCTGGGGCAGTGTTCCTTTTGCCTAAATTAACGCAAGCATCTGATAACAAGAGAGTTAAGCGGCACAGGGGAAGCCGGGGAAGGTGGGATTTCAGGGTATACTCAATCAAACATATAAAATAAAAATGACTTAAAAATCAGGAAATGTGAAAAAAAGATAAATATTCTTGTGTTGCAGATGTGTTTTAAAAGGAAAAAAATTTTTCCAAAGTACTTATACTAGTTAACATATCCCTGAGAATCTCAAGTTATAAAGCACTGGTACTTTTTTCATACACAGACTACACGCGGTGCTAAACAGAGCTGCTGGTTTCGGTGCTGCTTTTGAAGTGCACCACAACTGTCTGGTGACATCGATTCTGACTTTCAGCTGAATGTTCGTACTCACCGCTTCCCTGTTGGGTAGAACCTAGAGCAAGAATGGCCATCCCAAGCACAGTAAGGGTCCCTTGCCAGACAGCAGTCAGCGCAGGCGGTGCCGTAGATGTGGCAGCGATGCAGAGACACTTGGGACACCCCTTCATTGGAGCTCACATACAACTGTTGCTATTAGAAAAATGACGATGATTTATTTCAGATGTGGAAGTTAAAAGAGGACTTTCAGCAGGAACACATTATAATACGTGCCCACAAACCCTTGGACTCATTTTGAAAGTAGACTAAAAACGAGAAGCAGAATCCAGAGGGGTACAAAGCCAAAATAAACAGAATTTTCCTATGTTAATGTGCCTATAACATTACCACTTTCCTGTTTAAAGAAAAAAACTCAGAGCGCTGTGTAGACTGGTAATGTGTTTTAGACATTGGGATTCATTGTTCTCTCAGATTTGAGCTAATATATTACAGATTTAAATTACGATGTTTGCTTTTTTCTTTTAATGCTGTCTCTTCACAAAGTACAAGGCAGCTTTTTTATTCTTCAAGTCTGGCAACCCATCACGTTGTAAATTTGAAAAAGTGAAGGCTCAAATACAAGACACTTTTAAGTTTAGAAAAAGAAGTAGATAGTAGTACATATAATTTAAAATTCTTTTCCCGTGCCTTTGAAAGTGACATATTTCTCAACAGAGGAATTTTTTTTATTATTTAGAAGAATATCAGTATTTATATTGAGATGTGCATTAAACTTCCTGTATATTCAGAGCTATTCAGCACCCCTGGTCATAAATAAAGATTTCATCCTCTGTCATTTGTACAGTGTCAGGAGTTTGTCTTACGAAAGTGCTCCAGTTCCTGTCGCTGTGCCTAAAATGGGTCTCAGGAGTTAAAGGGATATGTTTCTAATGGACACTGAATATTTTACAAAGCACTGATATACAATTCAACTTAGCATGAAATCTCTAGGCTAGAACCTGAATACATGCATATTCACACACATGTGCACATACATCTCTATATATCTAGATCTAGATATAGATATATGTGAATATTATTTAAAATGAAATCAATGGCAGGCTCTGGAGGAATACTTTTGGGATTCAAATCCTGGCTCAATCATAAAATTGCTGTATAACTTCTCAATATCAGCTTCCTCTTTGGCAAAACTGGGTAAATAGAGCACCTGTCCTACAGAGCTTTTGTAAGAACTAAATGTAAGGGCCAATCCACAATGCTTGGAATTGCTTCTGACTCCTAAAACCTCAATGAATGTTAAATAACAGTAGTAGTAAACCATCAATTTGTGAATTTTCAATTCTAATAAATCATTTGAATCACATCCCACTCTATGTCTAACATAAAATAATTATTTACTCATATCAATTAATCTTTCAGAAATTGGGCTTAAAAATGTTAAGGCCCAGTTGACACATTCAAACCATAAGAAAACAATGGCAATTTTGGCAATAATCATTTCTCTAGGAATATCTGAAATAGCGTTTATGGAGTACACTGATATAATATAGTGAATGGTCCTGGCTGGTGTGGCTCAGTAGATTGAGTGCTGGCCTGCAAATCAAAAGGATGACAGTTTCATTCCTAGTCAGGGCACATGCCTGGATTGCTATCCAGGTCCCCAGTTTGGGGCGCACAAGAGGCAACCACACATTGATGTTTCTCTCCCCCCTCCCTTCACCTTGCTAAAAATAAATTAAAAAATAATAATACAGTGATTGCATCAGCTTCATGAAAAATTTTTGAGGAAACTGATTTATTTGAGAAAAGGATACAGATAGTTTCACTCTAGAAATTATCTTTTTTATTAATCAAATTATTTTCTTTAATATAGAATGCAAGAATAAATTAGAGAATAAAGGAATATAAAATAGACAATAATATAGTTTGAGCCCTAGGAAAAGTATGTAATTCATGACATTTAAAAATATTCAAAAATACTACTGGCAATATGTAGTTCTTTCACACTAAAAATAATGAAGTATGCAGTTGGATGAATGAATTCCCCCCAAATCAGGTAAGTCCCCTGCCTCTATCTAACTGATTTAATAAAACATTTTTAATTTTCTACATTTTAAGATGTTGAAGATACTTAATATCCAGTTTTTCTTGTATGTGTGTGTTAAATATTGAATTTTGTGGAATGGATTGTGAACAAGTTCACGAGTGGAATTCCAAGTTGAAACCTGTAATTGTATATTGAACTACTACTATGTCACGCAAATGGCTTTGTGTTCATTTTGAATTTTGCTGTAATACTTTCTCTTCCCATTAAATGAGTGTAAACAAAGGGCTTCCCTGCTGACTTCAAAGACAATTTGAACTAAGGATCACTCTCTAGGATACCAGGGGAAATGACAAATAGGTTCTTGTTACTTGGAAAAATGTTTGTTATGCACCATACAAACATTTTTACAAATAGATCTTTAGCTTGGTTGTACCCTCTTTATTTTTCTTCATAAGAAACATCAAGTGAAAAATAGGACGAGGCAGACTGTGGATTACTTGTTCATCGGGTAGCAGACCAAATATGGTGAAGAACACTAAAGTTATGTCATCAGTTGTGCTAACACATAAAACTTTTATTCTCTGTTCCCAGAAAAATAAGTCTTAGGCTCTTACAAACGCAGTTACAAAGACCCACTTTATTTTAGGCAATTTATATAATTTAATTTGTTTGTGAGAAAAGCATTACCTTGCAGAGGCAGAAACTTAGCTCAGTGAAGTTAAATGATTCGTTCATAATTTATGGTCAGGCTGGGATTCAAATGCATGCCAGCCCTACCCTGAAACCCACTCCATTTTTATTAGGTTACTCTGACTCTTAGAATGCTTGTTTTGGGGTATCTTGGGGGGACGGAGAGCTGCACACTTTGCACACACAGAGACTGGAAATGGATTTTCCTTTCTGTGACTCTTGTGTATTTGCATGCGCAGGCACAAAGATAAAACATTCCTGATAATCATAGCCTAACATTTCTTCCCAAAATCCTGACCCTGGATACAGCTTAAATTTGAAACATTCAGACTTAATGAGACGTATAACCCTAAAAGATAGAACTGTGCGTTTGAAGCCTGTGTTGGCAGCTAGACCTCAAAAGAGGATCGCTTACTCATTCCAAGCCCCTGAGAATGTCTGTGATGTTATAGTAGCCCAAACATTACACTAAATTCTTTCTTCAGAAAGATTATTTTTATTTTGGTTGGCTTCACACACAGTAATATTTGAGGATATAAGATATACAAAGTACTGGGATATCCTGCTGTACTCATGTATGTTCTGCTCTGATAATTTTTTGTACAAAAATAAACCTTTTCTGTCTGTACTAATAGCTCATGAATTCTCCATAAAAATTGAAGGTGATTTTGTGGTATTTTATAAACAGTAGTAATTAGTTAATGCTAAAATTAATTATTCAGACATTATAAATATATTTTTCATAGTAGTAAACTTTTTACACTCAAAGAAAATAAAAATGGTGTTGATTTTTACCTTTTTAGATGAAATTTTCATTGTTGTTATCGGAGCATGATTCTGGAAAGAGTAGAAAAATATTATGTTAGTTGCTCAGGTAATCATTAAAGAGGATTCGGCATTCAAAGAATTGCCTCTTTTCTGTTGAAATTGAAGAAATCATTTCTTTTCTAATACATTTCTCTTCTAATGCATATGTATTTTTCAAAGTCTAGCAATACTTGTCTATAATACAGTTCCACTATTGGGAATAAGGGTGGTTTGTTACAGAAATATATGCTAAACTAAAAAAAAAGGTTGCAATTATAACACATATATCAATATAGTTAGAAAATAATGAAAATTTGGGAGAACTGAAAAAGCCTTTCTTGGAATATTGAAACCAATGAATAACTGAGGAGTGAACCTGGGTAGCGGGTTGGAGGCTGTGAAACGGTACCCGTCTTACCCACAGCACAGCACTGCGCAGAAGGCACTACTGTCCACCTGGCACGTGTTGCTTTGAGAAGATGGATTGGCCTGACTCACACTTACTCATTCCTTTTTGTTGCAAACAAAGTAATAATGTTAGGGTTCTCTTTGGATAAATGTGAACCAGTTTAAGAACTAAAGAATTTTCCTGAAATAGTAATCCTTTTTGAAAGTCACTCCATTCATAACTTTACTTCTTAAATAGTATTAGTTACTTTTAAAGATTAAAAATTAGATGTGATAACCTGATGATGGTCTGTGGAATTGTATTTAATTAACTGAAGTGGAAGCAACATCTCAAAATCAACTATGTCCACAATTATTTTATTTTTTGGAAAGTGTATTTTTATATTTAAAAGATAAAATGGTGATATATATGTATATGTGTGTGTGTATGTGTGTATATATATATATGCTCTGGCAACATGTTTTGATCACTTAGAAATACACATGCATACAAAAAAAGTGTTGAAAGTTATATCCACCTAGGCAACATCTAATATTATATTTGCACCTCCAATTCAAGTTAAGCTTAGGAGAGCTGGACATATTTCCAGAAAATATTTTGAGTAGGGGATTAAAATGAGAGACTGTGGTTCTGCACAGTATAAAACACACAGTGCCTGTTTTTAAAAAGTTACATTGAGTTTTCTGCAGTATATCAGTGTGACAGTTAACTAAGAACTTTTTTTTCAATTTAAATGCATCATTTCCTGACGTACCCATCACAGTACATCATAGACACCCAATTATTTTTACCTCACCTCTGAAAATGTGACACAAACACCATGTTGAAGACAGGAACTGTATTTGGTAACTGTATCTCTCAATTTAGCCACATCAATCACTGGCACACGCATCTCTAAGAAAGCTCCCATTTTTTTGAGTCTCTCTCGCCGGTGCATGTCACCGCATGCGTTTTAACTGACTATTTTTCCACTGAGAGTTTATTCTTTGTGATAATAACACCAACAGAACTCATATAACAGACCATAAGTAGTTAGCACATGATCAGAAAAACTCACGTTTCTTTAGGGCCTTTCCCTAACATATATGTTTGAGTTTTGTGTCAAACTTACTTAATTAACATTTCCTGAGTACCCCCCCAAAAAGGTATTTCAGAATTAAAAATGAAGTGCCACAATATGGCATTTTTGCTATCTTCAAAAGAAGTCTAGAATAAGGTACTTTATATTATTTTGGCTACCCAAGTCATTCCTATTGAATTAAATGAGAAAAGTATATTTTATACATAATGTGATTGTGGTTAATCTAGTGAAACAATCAATTTCTTTACAAAGCAAGGCAAAGAAAAGGCAGTTGAGTGGACATGGTCAACATTTAGTGAGCACAATTTTAATGCACTAATTACGTAAAGTTTATGAAGTGAGTCTAGCAATAAAAATTGTAAATTTAATAACATTGGGAATTGTGCCAGAATTCCTCCCATTGTATATTTGATTTGATTCATTTTAGAAAATATTCTTTCACATTTAAAATTTATTAACATAATCTAACAGCATTGAATCTTGAACACTTAAATGCTTATAAATTCAGTATTTTTCATGACTGTGTAATGGGTATTAATAAGCTAATACATTCTGAGTCCACTAACCTAAACAAAGCAACAGACAGGACTAGCACTAGTGTGCTCCTGAGTTCTGAAATGCTACTTTTATTCAGTGAAGGCTGACTCTAATCTTTTGGTCCACGGGCCAATGCCTCTTACTTGGTTTAGTTAGATACAGCAGAATGTAGTAGGATTGATTCCACATCAAAGTTTCTTCTTCATTCTAGCAGCTCCTTTGTGCTTTTACCCATTCTTTCGAGTGCAGGTAAAAGCGCTCACTTGAACCATGTGACCCACCCCTTAAGGAGAGGACATGCAGGACACCCCGGTCTGCTTTCCAGGCTCACAGACTCATGAAGAACAGGCACTCTGCCCTGACCAGGTCAGATCCCACAGGACCGGACTTCCCTGTGTGCCTTTTTCCATTGTGCTGTGTTTTCATTTTTATTTTTAAATGACGAATTGAAGGACAGAAGGAATAATCCAGTGAAATCTTAAATTCAGAGAGAACATTTTTTGAATGATAAAGCAACAACATTTGTTTTACTTAATTAGGGTGGCATTTGAATTGAAAGCAAGAAAACAAAGGTTTTCTTGAAATTCCTGGCTAAAAAATATGAGAAAGTTTATCTAACAATCAATAATATAAAAGTATTTAGGTTTCAGTGGTTTGTAAAGCAAAAGAGAAAAGCCCTTTCATGGCAAATCTCTTAGACTTTGACCACAAGTACTCATTTAAAAAATGCAAAATTCTTAAAGTTGTGATGACAGCTAAAAAAACTAATCCTTTTATGTTAAGATAGCTTGAAATGCATAAAAATATTTCAGATAAATATTTGTTCTATGTGCCTCATTTTATCTGGTGTTGCCTACACTCAAAATTTATAACATTCTTTATTTGATCTTTTATAAAATATTACTTTTCTCCAAAGTGGCTGTACGACTAAAGAATTCTGTTGGTCATGCATCTTCAGAGATTAAGAGATGTTCAAACCTTAAAAACTTCCAACTCCTCTAGAATGAGCTCCCCACCGGCAGAGCTGTTGGTAGGAAGGACCACAACCTTCTGCACAGTACCCCGATCTGAACCAGAGAAAGGAACAGTGAGAGGTTATAATCATTTTTTAAAGGGAAGAAAGACACTTAGATGTAAAATTACTGGCTTAGAATTTGAAATATTATTCTTATGTCACATAAACCCTTTCTAAGCATATAAGGATGTCACTCTATGAATCATATATAAGCTTGGTTTAAAAGAAACCAGGTGAGATTCACAATATGGGATTAAAGCAAATTTGAGTGATTTCATTAAGCAACTATCATTTCTTCCAAAATATGGTTCTAATAAAATAATTCATGAGATACATCATAAATATCAAGTAAAAGAAAGAGCTGTTTTTCTTTTAACATATGAGCATGTACCTGTGAATTTATAATTTGGAAAGGTAAATTATCACATATACTGAAACACTTTTAATATGAAGGCGAAACTAATTGAAATGAATGGAATTGCACAGGAAACCAATACTGATGAAAAGGAAACTGGGACTCAAATCAATGGAGTGGACCAGAAGAAAGCAAATAATGGCCAAACAGAAAAGAGTCAAGAAGCAAGAATTCAAAAAAATGAGGAGAGTCTTAGGAACCTCCAGGACATCTTTAAATGCTCCAACATCCAAATTATAGGGGTACCAGAAGGGGGAAAGGAACAGCCACCAGTAGAAAACTTATTTGAACAAATAATAAAGGAGAATTTCCCCAATCTGGCAAAGGAAATAGACTTCCAGGAAATCCAGGAAGCTCAGAGAGTCCCAAAGAAGTTGGACCCAAGAAGGAACACACCAAGGCACATCATCATTACATTAGCCAAGATTAAAATGAAGGAGAGAATCCTAGAAGCAGCAAGAGCTAAGGGACAGTCACCTACAAAGGAGTTCCCATCAGACTGTCAGCGGATTTCTCAAAAGAGACCTTACAGGCAAGAAGGGGCTGGAAAGAAGTATTCCAAGTCATGAAATCCAAAGACCTACAACCAAGATTGCTCTATCCAGCAAAACTTTCATTTAGAATGGAAGGACAGATAAAGTGCTTCTCAGATAAGATCAAATTCAAGGAGTTCATCATCACCAAGCCCTTATTATATGAAATGTTAAAGGGACTTATCTAAGAAAAAGAAGTTAAAAAAACACGAACAGTGAAAGGATAACAAACTCACAGTTATTAACAACCACACTTAAAACAAAAGCAAACTAAAAGGACAGCTAGATGAGGAGTGGAAACATAGAAATGAAGATCTCAAGGAGGGTTAGCAACAGGGGAGTGGGAGGAGGAGAAGGGGGGAGAAGGTACAGAGAATAAGTAGCATAGACAGTAGATAGAAAATAGATGGGGGGGCAAGAATAGTATGGGAAATATAGAATTTAAAGAACTTGAGACACATGGTCATAAACGAAAGGGGGGTAATGGTGGGGATGGGGGGGTTGGGTGGAGGGGAATGAAGCAGGGAATAGAACAACTGTAACAGCAATAATCAATAAAATAAATAAATAAAATGCTGTTGACAGCCCTTGCTGGTGTAGCTCAGTGGATTGAGGATGGGCCTGTGAAGCAAAGGGTTGCCAGTTCGATTCCCAGTCAGGGCACATGCCTAAGTTGCAGGCAGGTCCCCAGTAGGAGACACATGAGAGGCAACCACACATTGATGTTACTCTTCCTTTCTCCTTCCCTCTCCCCCTAAAAATAAATAAATGAAATATTTTTTTTTAATTCTGTCGACAAAATGTCAATGAGAAGAGTTAACTTGAACTGAGTTGCACATGACTTTACAACTAGGAATCATTTAGTGATGAACACCACAAATCTCAGAATCTCATCTCAAACTGTCTTCTTTTCCACAGGCAAGAGATATTCTGCCATAAAAAAATCCCATTTCATTTTTATAGTTTCAATTGCATGAACTTAACTGAAAGACTCAAAATAAGGGGAGAGGGAAGGGAATTTCAGGAGAAAGGAGGAAGGGTTTACAGGAACAAGTATAAAGGACACATGGACAACAACTAAGGGGGGTGGAAATGGGAGAGAGGTGGAGAGCACTGGGGGGTGAGCTGGGATGGGATTAAAAGACAGAAAACTGTACTTGGACAACAATTAAAATAAATTTAAAAAAGAAATAAACTCTCAAATCTTACTACCTAAAAAATTAAAACCTATTAATAACAACAATGTTAATATACAGAGGAACAACATAAGGATTTTTCCAGAACAATCCTTCAATCTTGTGAGGAAACAAAAGTCTGACTTTAGAACCACCTGATCTTAGAAGTTTCAAACTACACTTCTTAAGCCATACTCAAATAAAAAATAATTCCAAACTCCGCAGGCTCCAGGTATAATTTAAACATTTTACGCCCTGGTTGGTGTAGCTCGGTGGATTGAGCTCAGGCTGTGAACCAAAGAGTCACCGGTTCGATTCCCGGTCAGGGCACATGCCTGAGTTGCAGGCCAGATCCCTGGTGGGGGACATGTAAGAGGCAACCACACATTGATATTTCTCTCCCTCTCTTTCTCCCTCCCTTATCCCCTCTCTAAAAAAATAAAACCTTTAAAAAAACTTTAATTTTTTTGTTTCACTGATTAGCTTCCTTAGAATCATCCCTGGTAACAATCTGTAATATTTTTTTTAGAAGATAAGTCATGAAAAGTATATATTGGAAGTGAACAAACATCTGAGGATGCTGTGCAGAGATGTCACAACTGAAAACAAATGAATTTTGCTGAAGGTGTTACCCAGTTTCCCTTAACAGTTCATCACAGAGAGCAGTGGAAACTTCTGGGGGAACAGAACATACCAAGAAATCTAAAATGAAATCTTTGAATTTATAACACTCAGAGCAGGATTATTTTTTGTGTGTATGTGATGGACGAGAGTGTAAAAACATATTTGTCTTAGGTCATTTTATCATAAAGGCCATGCTTTTTTTGAAGACACAGAAGTCACAACAGAGTTTTACGGTTCCCTGCTGCAGCTTGTAAGGATCACTGCCGTTCTTCGTGACAGCAATGACCTCTTTCGTGAGCAGAGACTGAGCAGAAACTCTTTAACCATATTCCCAAATAAAACCACAGGAAAGGGAATCTTGATTACAGGGGTTCCCAAAGATAAAACTATCAAATCTGAAAATAATTAATTATTCTCAAATGAGACAACTGGCTCCATTTTTTACCCAATGTCCCAACTTACTCTGAGAGCAAAATTTTACATAAATCATCATTTCTTCTGAAAGAACCCCAACATACTTTATTCATGCCATTTATAAAATATTACAAAGAGAGCAGCTATAAAAATGGCCTAATAAAAGGATAATGCAAAACTTGCTTTTTATTCATTTGCAATAAAAGCTAGAATGCCCCCCTTTTTTATTACTTGTTTCCATTTTAGTATTTTTTAAAATTTTGCTGGTAATGATGAGTAAATTTCCATTTTAAAACCATTAAAGGGAAAGCTGTATTTTTCTACCAACTAAATGTGAAGTTATTTGAAACTCTTGCAAAAATGCAAGTAAATTTAAGTATTGGTAACAATAATTCTGAAAATAAACTTTCTAATAGGATGGTTTCTTTCAAAATGCAGTCCTAGCAGAAACCTGTAGTTTTCAAAACATAGTCATATATTCTTCACTGCTCTATATAGAAAATGCTTTTGAGGTACCCATGGGCTGTGGCATTTACTACCGGGTAAATAAGTACACTTGGGTTGTCTTCCATCCATTTTCACTGATTGAATCAACAAGAAATCATTGAACACCTTCAGTGTGTCAGATACTATAAAAAAGTATGTATACATAGAGAAATACACACAGCGTTAAAGAGTTCAAAGTTTAGAATTTATGTTTTTTCAGTAGCTGGTGGGTTCCCATTAAAATGTTAGTCATTGAAAAATATGCATCTTAGAATATATAAAACTCTGTATCTTTTAGTCTCAAGATAATACCGTAGTTATCAAATATTTTCCTTCTGGAGGAAGTAAGAATGGCATTTCTTGAATGTACTCACAACATAAACCATTTTTGATTCTTTAAAAATATTTTATTTATTTATTTTTAGAGACAGGGGAAGGGAAGAAGAGTGGGAGAGAAACATCAATGTGTGGTTGCCTCTCATGTGTCTCCTACTGGGGACCTGGCCTGCAACCCAGGCATGTGCCCTGACTGGGAATTGAACCAGTGACCCTTTGCTTCACAGGCCCATGCTCAATCCACTGAGCCACACCAGCCAGGGCTGACAACATAAACCATTTTTATTCTGTAGAATTGGGATACAGCTTTTATTTCCTTGGGAAAAGCACACACCTACAATATAGTTACAGTAAAGCAGATTATCCTTCTCTTCCTCCTGAAGCCTCAGTTTGCTTGTGTGTACAATGTAAATAAAAATTATACCTTTCCTAATGGATATCTGTTACTAAGGCCTGCCCAGACTCACCCTACCCCATCTTTTGATAATACACCCTGAGACATTTCGGAAACAACCCCTCTCTCACTTTCAGTCCGCATGGTTAAGGAATGGTGTGACTGTTCCTGCTGCAGGGAGACACGCATGACTCAGTCTGGTGCCAAAGGGCATTCCATTGCCCCCTGATTCACGCAGGAGTGAGCACAGAAACAAGCCAGGGCCCAGCCCTTCCTGAGAATTCTAGGTGAAACCTCTTTCTTCTGCGATCAGGGCTATTAAAGAGCTGTAAATCTGGATTACTATCCTTGCTGCCATACGCTGAGGGTTCATTCTCTGAGTACACTCAACGGAGGCCATTCTCACTACCCCCAGAAGGCAGGCATTCCAGAACTACCTTATCATCTTTAAATTAAAAGATGCAGAGATGGCTTTATAGTAGACATAAGTATTTGGGAGTTTTATTGACATTCTAAAATTCTTACCTTTCAATGACTAACACTTTAATTGGAACACACAAATTCTTGACATCATTTCAGCACAAATTCAACTATGTTTGAGCCTGACTTCTGCATTTCCAAGTTGAACACACACCAAGATTTTTTAAACTAGTTTGAGTAAGGTGTATGGTCACT